TGAGCACGGGTCGTCGGGTATGGTGCTGACAAACATAGAAACATAATCGGGGCGAACCAGGATTCGAACTGACAATCATAGGTTTCTGGCGTGCCTAAGGGACGCAACTCTGCACAACGAATCGCAGCGTCTTAGACAACTGGACCACACGTCACACGACCACCCGATACCATTAGTCATTAGTCACCTCTTGTGAATCAACTAATAATGAAGAAAAGACCTTAAGACTAACAAAATGGTGCTGAGCATCACCAATACCATGTTTTACATGGATGTCATAATCATTCATCAGGCTCAGGACTATAAATTCTTCAAAATTATTTACCAAAAATCCATAAATTAAACATGAACCTATTATCGTGGCCTCATATTTTATTATTTACCACGTATGTGAGTTTTCTCATCTGATGTGGGTGCCAGTGAGGTGGCCTACAGTTATATACACAAATCTTTGGTCATGACAAAGATGCTGGTTCAGATCTCCCTATGGGTACAAAATGTGAAGCTCATTTTGGGAGTCCATTGCAGTGCTGGAATACTGCCACATTTGGTGGACTACTCCCACATTCATTCATTATGGGTATTGTGTAATACTTCCTGTGATTTCCTGGTCTAAATATCCCCTGTATAACTGCTGCCTAACAAAACAGGAACTGAACTCAGGAAAGTCTTCATCATATCTGTATGCCCATATGTCACAAACACACAAAACAAAATCCCACCGTTAACCTTATAGTGAGTGAGTTGGGTTTAACGCCGCTTTTAACAGTATTCCAGTTATATCGCAGCGTGTCAGCTTAATGTGGGAGGAAAGCTCGAAGTGATGCAGGTCTCAGACATTTATCACTTCGGTGAAACCCACGAGCACGGGTATGGTGCTGACAAACCTAGAAACATAATCGGGGCGAACCGAGATTCGAACCCACAATCATAGGTTTCTGGCATGCTTTAGGGACGCAACTCTGCACAGCGAACCGCGACACCTAAGACGACTGGGCCACCCATGCCCCCCATTAACCTTATAACCACAGATTTCAAGGTGTACATAAATTTCAGTGCCATCCTCAAATTATTGGGCATTTGTCATGTCGACCACTACTCTCTTGTATCATTATGGTTTGCCATAGGCTTGAACATAATCACCACGTAACACCTTGTATATCTACAAAATACCGTAAAGTTCATTGCAATATGACATCAGAGGATCCAGATAAATCATCACATCACAAGGGAATCCAGTCATCGGCTGCAGTATTCAAACTTCAAGGTACAATCCATTTTTGAAATGGGAGAAGTTTTAAGGAAAGAAATAACATTAGAGATGAATGTAGAACACTTTCCATTTTTGAACTTCTAAAGTTTATTGCATTAAAGTTTAAACAGATAAACATTTTTTGAGAGTTTTCTAGCACTAGTAATATTGCTGTCATTTGAAAATACACCATGGGTTAGTACCAGTTACCTCCCTTGCCTTGTGATGACAAGGTGGATGGCGATTTGAGTGTGATAATAATATGCCTTGTAATTTGAAGGCATCACAGAAATCAAGGTAAAGGTGCCAATAAAGAATTAGGTCCCTTTGAGGAAGAGTTACCGTTCTTTTCACACATGGCAAATAAACCCCTAAACACCCAGTAATCTGAGTGCAGCATTGAAATTTGCGTACGACTTGAAATCTGATGTTGCATCCGGACCTATTAACATATGATAAATATTAGGGCCGTTACAATCCACTCGCGTATTCGGTGAATTGAAGCGTATCCATTCATGAATTGAATTCGGTATTGGTGGCCACTAGAATCGAATATTTATGACTATGCAATATGTGCATTTACATACCCTGTTTCTAAACCATCCATAAGAACATATGATATGCATAGATTTCTTTAAAGACAACACTCTTATAATATTTAATTTGACAGGAATTTGGTCACTGGTCATTGAGAATTTGAGCAGATACTAAGACGAAGTACCTGGACAAGGCATATAAATGTATAATATAGATAATGAACAAACCATGTCAAATAATTTATGTTGTTAATGTTTCACTGAATATAACAAATAATACATCAACTGCTGACTTATTGTATTCATGAATTAATATTCGTATTCATTACCCTTTATTACCCTATCCCTGTATTCGCCTCATAGGGTATTCATTGCAGCCCTAATAAATATCAATGAATGCTTACTGGTCCTAATCCATTTTTATTTTCAACAGTCATGCGGAACGTTAACAGTACATCAGTCAGTATTTTCATGACAATACACAGCCCTATTCAGTGAGTGAGTGGGTTGGGTTTAACACTCATTTTAACAGTATTCCAGTTATATCACGGCATGTCAGCTTAATGTGGGAGGAAAGCCCGAATTGATGCAGGTCTCAGACATTTACCACTTCGGTGAAACCCACGAGCACAGGTATGGTGCTGACAAACCTAGAAACAAAATCGAGGCGAACCAGGATTCGAACCCACAATCATAGGTTTCTGGCGTGCCCAAGGGACACAACTCTGCACAGCAAATCGCCGCGCCTTAGGCCACTCGTGCCCCCTAGCCCTATTCAGCTATTAAGAATGACAAAGAACATTTTTGCTGCTTCCAATATAAATTTCCATTTCTATGAGTATTTTTGTAACCAACGTCATTAACTACAGTGTCTACAGCTAGAGAACTGACTTTCAGCTTCCTGCACCGTAAAGCTCAGGTCATGTACTAAGATAATGTAGGTAGGATGGGTTTACTAATTGAATCAGCCTGTAACAGAGCTACAGATTAGCTGCGTATTTGCATAAAATACTCCCCAAAAATATTCAAAACCCAATTACTTTCATTTAAGTTGCATACAGAAACGCATGCATTAAATGAAAAACTCAAATGTATAAAAACAGCACACATAAACACTGAATGAAAATTTTTCAGCATGCGTACAACAGAGCTAATTTCCAGAACACAATTACGAGCTAATTTACTTTCTGAGTCAAGCCCATATTAAGAACCATTAGATCTATATACATCTAAAACATTATTTCATTTTGGGGGAAATCTCAAAATGTTTACTCATTTTGAGAAAAACACAATAGAGTGATGAATAGATGAATGAAAAAATATTGGTTACCCAATGAAAAATGTCATAAGCCAATTGAATTAGAAACCTTTGAGTAAAAACTCAATGGCTCAAAAGGTTTTCTGGAGCTGTTTACGTTGAATTATTCCCTTAATTAACCAACTTATTCTATCATGTTTTTCGTGATATACCGTATTTGACGTAATAAGCGCCCACCGCAATATTTGCTAATATAATGGCTAGTGAACAATCCCAGTTAAAACCCTTTCTGATTGATCAATGTACACAAGACTTATTTATTCGTGTATAATACGCACTCGTTTGTTATATGCACCCTTAATTATGGGCAATTTAATTCTCAAAAATATATCTATCGTATAATACACACAGATTCTTCTTTCATATCATTCCAGGCTGTCAGCATTAACCACAAAATTAACAATCTTTCAACCTTGTTTTTAATCTCACCAAAATTATATTCTAATAAGCTGATAAGAGCCCCCTATTTCTAATTTAGAGAGCGCCCTGGGCGCTTATTACGTTGAATACGGTAGATGGTTTACTTTTAACAAATGCAGGAAATGATAATGAAACTGGTTGTTCATTCTTAATTTTGATATCAAATTGTTTACTTGATCTCTAGATATTGACAAAAAGAAGCCCTGAATGTACACACATAGTGGGAAAGTGGCAATAAGTGTTGCACTTGTGCCCAATCTCATTGTCGTTTTGGAAAATAAAATATGTTTAAGTACAAAAATATTAATCAGATCCTATAAAGTTAATGTGTGTATTTGTGATCTATTTTAAAGTTAAACCATCATATATCATTTCAAATTTGTTCCATATAGACGAACCATAGATAAAGCCATGTGTTTGTTCTATACCACTGCACTGAGTCATTGACACATCAATTATGTGTCAGTTGGGCACATGGGTGCCAATTCTATACATAAACATACCATGCACTTTAAGTATAACATTTGAGAGCATGATCCGCTTAACAGTATCATATGTGGTTTATTTACATCAGAAATGATCAGTGAGGATATAACATGATACAAATCTATCTCCATCTTATTGCTTGACTCATTCTTTACTCTCACAGTGAGTTAAATCTGTGAGGAGTTATTTTGCGAAACGCTGAAATACATGTACTGCTTGCAATACTTGACAGGTTGTTGTTGTGACCGGTCTATGCAAACATAAATGCTCCACAGGACACACAAGGCAAATGACATAACAGCTGAGCGGCACTATCAGATCACTGACCGACATTAATTATTCTGAACATCAGTAAGCTAAACAAGTTGAAGAGTGAGCCAATGACAGCTCTGCTTTCGCTAAGAGACAGGAAACTCCAATCTTTTTTCTATGCATCTGCCGGTCAAGTAGGTTGGATGTTGGCAGCAGGGTGCTTATCGGCTTCTTTTGGGAATTTCTTAGTGCGGTTTTTCCCGACAGAATGGAGCCACTTTTGGTCGATTTTGACACTTTTTATCACTTTAGCCATCACCAGCCCTGGGATTCAAACTAGAAGTAAGGATACTTGTTGCCGTATCATAATCATAATCATAATCATAAGGTTCAAATCCGGGGTGTATAGAACATGTTTCAGAACGATGTTCAAGTGGACACAAAGGAAAACAAAGATTAAACATATTTCTTCACATCAGCTTTTCACAAAACATGTGAAACAATTTTGCCTGAGATTATCCAGTACCTATGTCACAGGTCTTGGCCATAAATTCTGTCAAAATAAAAATAAGCCACCCAAAAACAGCTTTGAATCCTGAAAAAAAGTCCTGAACGATTGCATAGCCGGTGAACTCTCACCCGTTCAGTGTCATTGGAGTGATATAAACCGTAACGTAAATATATGACACCCTACCAGTCTTCGCAGTGTATGCTGTAAATCTAGCTGGAAACTCACCCACAAGAGATCATCACAGAGAGCGAAAGTCCCAGGCGGAGACGTAGCAGCCATGCTTGCTGGTGCTGTAGCGGGCGACAACTCTTCCGTGATTATACGCGCGTATTGCACAACCGCTAATGATTGCTAGAATGTGCGGTTTCCGCATACCACGATAGTAAATTTGCTGAGTCACTTCGGGTTGCAAAGGTCATGTGAACAATGAGGTTACTGGGTTTACCAAGTACGTTTATTATGCAATATAAACACACATGCTTTATCTAATGTTAAATATCACTGAAAACGGATACACAAGCTTAAATTAGGCCAATGCGATGATAATGATTGTTACAGCGTTCTTATAATACTTGCTGTACAGAGATCAGCCTCGAGGTTATGATGTGGGATTAGGAGCTACTTTCACTTTTTATAAATTGTACCAACTGAACTGTAGGATATCATGGGCATAAAGAAAAGAAAAGGCAACAAGTTTCAATAAAAAAAGAGGAAGCAACATTTTTATTGATATATTTATATCAGATGTACAGACGATTAAGTGCACACAAGTCCCAGGCATTATTGGGGAGAAACCCTCGGTAAATAAACTAACAGATGCAGCGACTGGTGAATGATGAATGAAAGTAGATCATTTCAGGTCATACATCACGCTGCTCATATAGATGCACAGCTTGCAGGTGGTTCCTAGAAATATAAAACATTTTATAGATTTATGTATTTCCTCCTCCCATAACATATATCAGCTAATATTATCATAAACATTTTGTCCATACGTAAAGTCATGTCCACAACTCCCTCGTTTACCCACTGGGTAGATTTCTTTTATCTTTTGGAAATTAACAAATGGACTCTATCTTTCTAATCAGCGTCCATGACACCGTGTTAAACGGATTCGTCGGAGACAATTTTTCCCCTCAGTTTTTGTAGTAGTGTTAGTCAGTTTATGTGAGTAGCGTCAGTCAGTTTATGTGAGTAGCGTCAGTCAGTTTATGTGAGTAGCGTCAGTCAGTTTATGTGAGTAGTGTCAGTCAGTTTATGTGAGTAGTGTTAGTCAGTTTATGTAGATAGTATCAGTCAGTTTATGTGAGTAGTGTCAGTCAGTTTATGGGAGTAGTGTCAGTCAGTTTATGTGGATAGTGTCAGTCAGTTTATGGGAGTAGTGACAGTCAGCTTATGTGAGTAGTGCCAGTCAGTATATGTGGATAGTGTTAGTCAGTTTATGGGAGTAGTGTCAGTCAGTTTATGTGAGTAGTGCCAGTCAGTTTATGTGAGTAGGGTCACACAGTCTATGTGAACAGTTTCAGTCAGTTTATGTGGATAGTGTCAGTCAGTTTATGTGGATAGTGTCAGTCAGTTTATGGGAGTAGTGTCAGTCGGTTTATGGGAGTAGTGTCAGTCAGTTTATGTGAGTAGTGCCAGTCAGTTTATGTGAGTAGGGTCACACAGTCTATGTGAACAGTTTCAGTCAGTTTATGTGGATAGTGTCAGTCAGTTTATGTGGATAGTGTCAGTCAGTTTATGGGAGTAGTGTCAGTCGGTTTATGGGAGTAGTGTCAGTCAGTTTATGTGGATAGTGTCAGTCAGTTTATGTGAGTAGCGTCAGTCAGTTTATGTGAACAGTTTCAGTCAGTTTTTGTGAGTAGTTTCAGTCAGTTTAACAGTGTAAATCCAAACTTTCTCATTCTGAATGATAAGGTGTGTATTTAACACTGGCAGTTTGTATATATCTTATTTCTGAAATAATTGTGTCATTGTTTCTCTACCTCTCACATACACATAATCAAAATGTTGGTGTTCAGGTTACAGGTCCTATCTGTTGTAGTATTGCCTCAAACAGTATAGACAAGATATTTTATGGATGACTTCTTTATTCTATCATGATGTGACGTTTCGGTATAGGTGCTTATACCGTTACATTGTACCTCTCTGTGTGCCCATCACACTCTTGCTTGACAACGGTATAAGGATCTGAACCGAAACGTCGTCACGTTGGAATAAAGAAGTTGTCCTCCACAACATATCTTGCCTTTACTCTTACTTACCAACTTCTAACAATGCCAATTAAACAGTTAACTGCCTGAACACCTTCATCTTCCCGAGCCACGGGAGTAAACAGACTATATAAGTATAGCCAGTTAACGCCCTTGATTCGGGAAGATGGAATACCTTGGTCATTCTTAAATGATATTAGCGTCGGTCCTACCTGTAGCTTGTTATAGGCTGTTCCTGGCTCAAGATTCGGTGCGAAACGTCAAATTGTCACATGTAGAGACGGTGCCAAGCTTCGAATGTGTCCTTTCTTTAAAAATATGTCGCTTTATACTGTTTATAGGACACTAGCACATATTTTGTGGTGTCTGTTACTTAGAATAGCAACTTATTTTCAGGCTGCAGCTGGGGGCACGGGTGGCCCAGTCGTCTAAGGCGCCGCGATTCCCTAGAAACCTATGATTGTGGGTTCGAATCCCGGTTCGCCCCGATCATGTTTCTAGGTTCGTCAGCACCATACCCGTTCTCGTGGGTTTCACCGAAGTGTTAAACGTCAGAGACCTGCATCACTTCGTGCTTTGCTCCCACATTAAGCTGACACGCCGCGATATAACTGGAATACTGTTAAAATCGGCGTAACCCAACTCACTCACCCAGGCTGCAACTCGAACACCAACTGACACGATGGATGGGAATGGAAGAACACGTCATGAAATATAAATCGTTTGACGGGCATTTCTTAGATGTTGAATGACAAAGTAAACACAATTTATGGATAACAACTTCTTTAATATATTATAATAGGGCGACGTTTCGACATAGCTTCTTATTTTGCCAGGCAAAACAGTCTTGCTTGAAAACGGTATAAGGATCTATACCGAAACGCGCTAGCATATAATATAGCATTGCTATCCATACATTGTGTCTACTTCGCCATGAATATTTTGTTTCTGGCTGGCCTGTACTACCCCAGACAACAGCTGGTGCTCACATGTAATATCACATCAATGCAATAACACACTGGTGCTCACATGTAATATCACATCAATGCAATAACACACACGTCATTTAACAGACGCTTGTGTTGTTTGTCACGAGAATATACCAAATTGTCACACTGCCAGGAACTCCATTGTAATCAAGTCGCGCAAAATACGTAGATATCACTCAGTTATGCAATACAGATGTCGACTGAAATCACCTGGAAAGAAATGAATAACATTACTGAGTATGTTTTGTTGGAGATTGAAAATGATTATCATCATATGAGACTGTGGAAACAAAGAGATGCTAAGGTCCAGTGAAATCCAATATAATTGTTGAATTGTTTGTTGTTTAACGCCGCACTCAGCAATGTTCCAGTTATGTGACAGCGGTCTGAAAATAATCTGGACCAGATAATCCAGTGATCGACATCATGAGCATCGATCAGCGCAAATGGGATACGATGACATGCATCAACCAAGACGACGAGCCTGACCACCCGATCCCGTTAGTCGCCTCTTACGGCAAGGTGAGGTGAGGTGAAATTGGGTTTAACGTCGCGTCCAAGATTATTGCACTTATATAGCGACGTGTATGCACGTGTATGTGTGTGTGTGGCTGCTTCTACTAGTCCGGACTAGTCCCGATTTATAGTGCTAGCTCACTGAGATACCATGCCGCAGTTTTAACATGAATACCCCACTCAGACACAGTATACTGACTCCGAGCCGACCAGTCCTTGTTTTAGCCCCTTAATGCCGAGCGCCAGACAGGGTAACAACAAGTACAATCTTTTAACGTCTTTTTGTATGACGCGGCCCGGGATCGAACCCTGGACCTTCCGCTCTCCGGGCGGACGCTCTACCACAAGACCACGGAGGCGGTCCCTTACGGCAAGCGTATATATATATCTTTAGTAACATATATATATATAGGTTACTAAAGACCTATTATTATATTCTACCACGGATAGAAATTCAATTTGAGCTTTATCTATATCTTATCACTGTCAACGTACAGAGACAGATCAAGGATATTTCCACTTCGTGTACAGTCTGTCCCTGTATAAATGGGGTTGCGACCGGGTACGAAAACTGAACTCGAGAACCCGGCAGAGAATACCCGAACCGGACTCGAGTACCCGTAGTTCAATGTTGTCCCACTTATTTGTAATGCTTTTGCGAATAAAAGGTCATCAAACATCTATTTATCTGTTCTAAGGTATTATGTTTTTTTATTAAATGCCTGCATGGCTTACCTAAAACCACAAGTGACGCAGAATATCAAAGTAATCTGGCGCCAGTCATTGAGCACTGTCACCAAAACAGGCGAGAGCGGGAAACGGCAAGATCACATGACTGCCTGACACGTGAGTCGTGACATGGGTAATAAATCGATATGTGTCTGAGTGATCTAGGCTTGTATTGTAATTTGTAACATTGCACTATTTCAGTATTTTGTAAAATAATTTTGACAATAATGACAAACACAAGTAACATTAGATTTCACATTATTATTGAACAGATCAGCAAATTATTGAAAACTGTTTAGTTTTATGTTAAAATAGTCCAACAGAACATCTTTTCTGTTTTTATCGTGCTGAAGCATAAAGACAAACTTGCAACTTTGAACAACCTAACTTGTTTTTTAACACTTGTGGAATGTCATTTGTGATCACCACAACATGGACTTTCTCATTGTACGCCTGTCTCACGGAAAGTACTAAATCAGATCTGGTAAGTATAAGATCTAGACTGCTGAGAACGGACTTAATTCATGATGATTGCATAACTATCTCCCCTGAACGGGTACTCGAGTCCTGAAAATTGGACTCCAGTCCTAAGCTTCCCAACCCGTTATCGGGTACTCGAGTACCCGTCGCAACCCTATGTATAAACACATGCATGCTTGTAATCCTCAACAATATGACACACATATGGGTACATTTTCATTTAATATCTGTACATTGTATTATGATTAAAATAGTGTGGAAGTAAAACATCAAAGATTGCACTTGAAATTGCAACACGTCAGCATAGCGATCGGGAAGGAACGTTGGGCTCTCCTACCATCGCTCGTCAGTTGGATGTCAAGCGGTTTAAAATGAAACGTTAACAGCCTTCAAGTGTGACATTGATA